GTGGCTCCTGCAGGGTGGGGAGTCCCTCAGCGTGCAGCGGCAGCAGCTGGAGGAGCTCTACCTGGCTCACTCCAACTCCATGTCCATCCTGCTGGAGGAGGAGGACGGTTTGCACAGCCACAACCACGGCCTCCCCCAGGGGCCCGCCAACTTCACTCTGCTCTGGTACTCATTGGTTTTGAATGTAGACTTAGATTTATAGTCTAGTTTCCGGCATAGTTAACCTGGAAATGTTGAGTACGGCAACGTTTTATGTAAGAAATGTATAGCACGGGTCCCCAGCAAAAACGGATGCTAACTTGCATATGTTGGGCAATTTGCACAGTTAGTATAAATTGCGTTAAATGAAATGGATTGCATTATAGCCCAGGTAAACAATAGTTAAAAAATGGCTTGGCCAATTCTGGTGGTAATTGAGGATGCTGAATGCATTTCTGACATTTTCAGTATCAAAAATTGCAGCTTTAATCAAAGTGTGCTGATTTTGACTATGCTGAGTAGTGTTGCGACCATTGGATATTGAGAGCACAAGATGAAAATGATTATCTATACTGTAGACAGATTTTCTTCAAATAAATTGACAATCTATCGAATCCAGAGGATCCAGAGTCCCCTAAATCTTCAAAGTCGACCCAAAATGTTTGAAAATCAGCCCACCAGGAGTACTAATATGACCCTCTTTTTGAATGTCAGAATTGGACCCGGCATCCTCAATAATCCCCAAAACCACTACAAATGGTCACCATTGGCCAAGCCATTATATCACTCATTTCTCCACAGGCTATAATGGTAATTCATGCTTATTAATGCAATGCTAATTGTGCAAGTTGCCCAACATATGCAAGTTAGCATTCGGCAGTTTCTAGGTGTTGGGGACCCCAACTATACATTTCTAACATAACACTTTGGTGTACTCAACATTTCAGGGTTCCCAACAGGACTCTATGAGCTGGCAACTAGACTTTAAGGCTTTTATGGAGCAAATGTACTTGCAGGATTCTGAATTGTTATCTTTACTGAAGGTTTTTTTTGCACTTATTGAAAGCTGCTTTGGATAAAAGCGTAGACTAAAAGAAATGGAATGTAATGTATTATGAAATGATATGCCGTACATTTTCGGCGAGGGTTTTTATGATTCTTTCTGGTGTTTTGTGTGCAGGAGGTTCAGCTCGGGGACCAGGGAGAAGGTGCTGAGGTGGCTCTTCCCCAAGGCGGAGCTCTGCCCCCTGCTGGACAGCGCCGGGACCATCGTGCAGCGCTGCCTGGTCACACACAGCACCAACTCCCAGAGCAAGGTCAGTCCACACACACACACACATCTTTACACCTGGACCGTCAACATGTCCAGGACAGGTGTCCTCAGGCTATACATTATAAAATTATAGAATTTTGCAAAGAAAAAAACCCAGCGGCTTGTGACATCATTTGCCCTTTCCATGATATAATACATTTCTGTCTGAATTATCTAAGGGTGAAAATGCAGTTGAAAGTGCATCCGTCCATCACTCACCGTAAATAACCCCTCAGCCTCTGCTCTGTGTTTCAGGGGGTGGGGGTGTTTGGCTGGCTGGTGGTGGGGGAGGGTCTTCCCACAGTGCGAGTCCTGCCTGTCCAGCGCTGCCAGAAACACTGCAGCTCCTTCAACCTGTGGCTGAACCCTGGAGACATGGGTACTACCGTTTTATACCACGTACACTTTCATTGTGAAAAATCATCAACTTTCTCCTTTCGACAAAGCAATATCTCTACTTAAAACACATTTCCAAATCAATTAATAAATGCAACTTATTCTTGTCCTGTATGCACAATGTGTTTTATGTGGAGCCCCTCCCAAAATAATAATGTGTGTATTCAAGTATTTTACAAAATGATTAGTGAATTACTAACAATAATAAGGATTTTAATATACAAAACATTAAACAAAAAGTATATTACAACACTTTGCACAATTGTTTTCTAGTATAATAAAAAAATATGGTATTATTTTGCAATTTATTATAATACCCTCATGAAATAGCTGAATAAAAATGTACACCATATCCTGTTGACGTAGGAAAAAATATGGGCTCTATACTAGAAATACTGGTGTAAAACAAATATGTGGGAACAAAATGGTTGACTACAACAGCGGACTACTGTACAATTTATATATATATATATATATATATTTATATATATATATATTGTGTCACTGCCCTATAATATAATTTAGATAAATAAATCTTGCATAGATAATCTCACACACACTAAATCATTGTTTGTGCGTCGTCCTTTCAGGCAGCAAACTAAGCAAACAGTGTAAATATTTCTACAGTTAACATCTAAGATATTGTCATAGAAAACCATGACTGTACCTCGCTGCCTGCTGGATCTGTTCTCCTCATCACTGACGGTTGTTCCCTGTGACCTTTGACCCTGTGTAGTGTACGCTGACCCTCGGTACTGGCAGATGGAGCTGTTCCCCGGCCGAGGCCAGAACATCATCTGTGACGGATCAACGTTTTAACTTCAGGAGGAGAGACGTTCAGGAGCAGCGTGGAGAGTTCAGGATTGTGCAGATCGGCCTTTCTGTGGCCCCGCCACACCGATGCCTTATTTCCCTCCGGCCTTTTTTAATGACGCCCGTCCGTCCCATAGTCCTCCCTGCGTCCTCAGAGAAACACTGCTCACATGACTTGAGTTTGGGAAAAAGGGATCCTCCTCCAGGAGGTCAGAGGATGGAGAAATGACTTTATGACTTTGTCCTCCGGAGTTTTAAACTCTCCAATGTTCTGGATGTGCCGTGCCATAGCTTCTAGCATATATTTAGAACTTAAAATAATTCATCAATCATTGGGTGTCTCTCTTTCAGAAGGTGGTGAAAAGTGATGAGAGCTTGGCATTAACCTGACCTGAGCACCACAGGGAATTGTTTCCTGTGTTAAAATCCATAGCTTGGTATGCCTGGATGTGAGGACCCCTCTGAACAGAAAGCAGCTGACATGAACACAGCAGATTGAAGGCAGGTTTATCTGTAAAGCACATTTCAGCAACAAGGCCATTCAAAGTGCTTCAACATAGATATCAAGGGCATCAAGGCAAAGTGCAAATCTAAGAACAAAGACTACATTGAGCATGTGTATCAGGGGCTGCAGATTACATGGTGAATGTTCTTTTTGCATTTAATCAAATTATTACAAACTAAGTTTAGGAGCACCTGGAGTTCATTCAGTCAGTGAGCGCTTACTTATTTTGCATTGCATTCTGGGAACTTTCAGTGTCTACTCTAGACTTTCACTTCCTGCTCTGTTTCTGATACTCACCCACAGCTCTTCATCTGGTTCGTTCCTTGATGTTAAAGGGACAGTTCACCCAAGTCGAGTCCTCTAGTAAACACATGTCAGACGGGTTATTGGAGCCTTTTCTGTTAATGAGTACCACGTCGTTCTACATGTAAAGAAGAAATAATAATAGATACAAATAAGAGGAAGATGTGACTCTTCCTCTTATTTGGATCTATTATTTGCTTCTTGTTGACAACTTCCTGTTTTTTTGTCATTTGTTTTCTACAAACTTATAACATTAGTGCCAAAAAGTGACGTTGCTATGCTATAACAATGTATTAAAATAGAGATTTTAAAAAGCAGTTTGATATTTATTCTAATTTTTAAAATGGCTAACTCGGCCAGCTGTAAATTTGACTTTTTATTTTTATTTCAATAACAGATTAGTACATTGTTCCAACTCATTTGAAGTTTGGAGATTAAACTTTAAGTGACATTTTTGCTATTTTTTTTAGATATATTTTTTAATGACATAATTAAAAAAGTTGGTAAAAAATGAAATCTTTTAAATAGTGATTTGAATTTCTAGCTAATTGTCAATCAAAGCCAGAATGAATGTACAGTTTTAATTGGTTTAAAATAGTGTCCACATCAGAAATCTTTCCCCATCAAATATTTCTGGATTATCCAGTATTTCATGGGGACACTGTTCCTAAATAAGAAGTTGATTTTGTATTTTTTTCAAACACATTTTTAATGCTGAAATCTCAGAAACATCTGGAGAGAAAAGGTAGTGAATGTGTTTAAGATTTGGGTGAACTTACCCTTTAACAACTAGATTTTACTTGAATCTAAAACCTTTTTTTTGTTGTATTCTTATCCACGTTGTTTATAAGGATCAGATATTTTTTATTCTGAATGTACAAACAAAGCTGCTTCTCTAATTTTGCTGTTATTTATTGTTATGATTGTATGTACATATGTTTAAAGCATTAATATTTGAATAGTAATGTGTGTCAGATTTCCTGAAACCCATGAAGCAGTGGACTGTGTGATTCGTGCTTGATCAGGGTTTCCTTATCCTTAAAGTCTGAATAAAATCATTTTGCCAAAGTTGATCCGTCTCTCTCATTTTGCTCCAGAAACCCAAAAAGCCACAAGTATCCAAACTTCAGCAGTTGGGTCTCTGGAACCAAAGCAAGGAGGGAATATTTTTTAAATGTACGCTTTGCATAGAAATGTCAACATTTTATGAGAAAATAAAACTTGTCATGTACTTGTGTCCGTCTGTGTTGGGTTTCTCTTGACTTTGTGATTTGAAAGTGGTCGAGTTTGTTGGAGAACACAGGGATGTAATATGAAGATCAGTGTTGGAAAGTAGCTAAGTACAATTACTCAAGTCCTGTACTTAAGTACACATTTTAGTTACTTGTACTTTACACAAGTATTTTTGTTTTATACTACTACTCTACTACATTTTGGAAACTTTGCACTTTTACTCCGCTACATTGATTTTACAGATGTATTTACTACTTTAGATTATTATTATGTCAGTCATTGTACTCGAGTAAAGCATCTGAATGCTTCTCCACCAATGAGAAGACAGAAGAGTGAGAGTTTTCAGGTTCTCTCTTTGCCCGCTCACATAATACGTATACGAAAATACGTTTCTTCTTAAAGACTGAATAATTATATTTGAATGGTGATGATATCCCAGAGACAAATGTGACCATTGGGGCAAGAAATACATCTTTATTTCTCTCAACATGAATAACGTAGCAACAGAACAATGCACAATAGCAACTCAATGTTAGCAGTTAGGAGATTGTGTCTGATTAAACATTGTAGATATGTCAATATATGATAAAGACAGATGGTTCTATGGAGTCTTAAGGGTGCCATCAGAAGAATAAGACACTGAGTAATAATGTAAAATAATAATTATTAGCAACATTATTGGGGATTCTTAAATTAGCGACAGTTTTCATTATTTAACATAAGTTGTCTGGTGTTTCCTCTGGCTTAGTGAAGTGAAACCGATTAGCTGTCACTTCCGTTTAAAGAGGCCCTATTCTGCTCATTTCCAGGTTTATGTTTGTATTTTGTGCCTCTACTGTGATATGTTTACATACTTTAATGTTACATAGTGATGCCACTATATTACGGAAGTAAACAAAGGTGTCAATTGGAATTGTTCAGGCAGGGGGGGGGAAACTCCCTCTGGAGAAACTCCCTCTGGAGGAAACACACGGATTTTAGCCTTTGCAGACCATTTACATGCACACAAACCTTTAGAACACACTAGAGGAACGGGAAGAAACCAAAATGCTTGTGTGTGTGTACACACACACGGCAACAAAAAAGTATTAATGCTATCTAGTTAACATTTAAGTAAACAATGAATTATATGAAATATTCAGAAACAAATCACATAGTATCCACACACATTCGTCCATTCGCACACACACAACTGAACTAACACTTAACCTCCGTGCCAAATGTCAGCCTCATAGTGCAAAAAGTTATTTTGTTAATGGAAACCATTGTTGGTCTCAGCTAAAAGCTAAATGTAAATATTTTCTGGAAAACAAAAAAAGAGTTGTTACCGTTTTAAAAATAGTATGAATATTAAAGCAGCAACAAAATATGAAAAAAAGTATTTTTACATAGAAAATTAAAAGCTAATCAGTTATTTTAAAATGAAATTATTCATGATGTTAAAACATAGAACCGGTGAGTAATTAATATACAAATGATTATAAAATTTGATGGTGTTTATAATATATTTTTGAATTTGAGTTATAGTAAAAACTGTGAAAAATACACTATTATTTGGTAGCATATATGGAAAAAACATTAAAAATGCAACGGTCCTGTATGCACAGACTGTAAACTCCCATTACAGTTGAAACCATATGACCCTCAGTGGGCTTCATGGACTCATTAAGGTGGTTAGAGGTTGCCTTTTCAATTGAATAGCAAGTATACATGATATAAAGTGCTGCACTGAAGTGGACAAAGTCACTAAGAGGGACTGATGCAGTTTTAGGTCAAAGTGCAAAGCGTCACATTTGCATCTAAAGGGTCAGTTCACCTAACATACAAAATGAATGTATACATCTCTCCAGTCAGATAGTTTGGCTTGACTAGCCAGGTATGTTGAAATGCTTTGATCAAAACGATTTGACTGGATAGATACAACTATGCTGACCCAAAACAGCAGATTTAAGAAAGTCTTTATAAAAAGCCAGGTGACAGATTTAAAAAAAGGTTCAAGTCAGTGTAAAGCGGGAGGCTCAGCGGTCACGTCCCTCCGGCCAGCAGAGGAGACGTCTCCGAGGCGTCACGTTTGTGATGCGGAGACTGAGACCAGCTGTCGTACAGGTGGCTGCTCTGAAGGTCCGCCTCCGCACGCAGGGAAATTTTCTTAATAAGAAAGAAAGAAAGGAAATGAGAAAGAAAGAAAGTAAGTAAGTAAGTAAGTAAGGTCATGTTTTTTGGCTTGTGTAACCATTAGCCAATAACCAACCAATGTAACCCCCCGCCCACCTTATCACCTGAATCTCCTAGAGCACCATTACTACATAGTTTATGCATTTGGAACTATCATATCTCTATACTACAAATACACCATTTATTTTGTTGCTTCATCATTTGTCTGGTTGTTTCTAGTAAATATGACCTACGTATGATAGAAGATGATTAGAGCCACTGTGGGGGGTCAAGGTACCTGAAAGTCTCTGATGTAGGTGAGGAAGAAGCTGATGAAGGAGAAGGCCAGAGACCACTCAGAGATGGTGCTGATGATGTGAGCCGTGTAACCCTGAAAATACACATACAACCATCAATGTAACACTGATAGGAGCCTTGTTCCTGTCCAAAGTGTATATTTGATTTTAGACAAAGTTGTTGTTTAGCTTCTCCTGTTTAACACCCGGGAAGTGAAAAACATGATGTTATGTGTCAAATAATGTTTCATTTTGTAGCAGCTCTAACAGAACTACATCGGACCCAAGATTTCATCCATCTTAAAAATATGCAGAACTGACCGTCTCTCCAGGAGTCCAGTGCAGTTTGTGAGCGACGTCGACCCCCGGCAGACTGCTGTACATGATGACCGACGATACGAACACTGAGGAGGACGATGTTAAGGAATACAACAGGACATGTTTTATATACAGGTGAAAGATATGTATTTGTCTATGTAAGCGTCAGGGAGTAGCCTCAGCCACAAATTCAACTGCATTTCCCATAACGGCCTGGTTTTAACCCCTAACGTTATGTAATCTAATTTGAATGTAGCTTCAATATTAAAGAAACTGTAGTTTTGAGCTTCACATGACCAGAACTGTAAATTGTGTTGAGGAAATGAGAAAGTTTAAAATATTAAAAAGAAATAATTTGTTTGTTTTATATGATAATAATGAGCTCAACACCTTCACAGAGTTGCTCGTGAGGATATTCACAACTATCCAGATAACGTCAATTGAAGTTATAGTGAGTTTTTTTTTACGTGTGATTTAATCTTATGTCGCCCAATTCCTACGCTTGTGTAAGGTAAAATCATTATATTTAGGCACAAAACAAGTCCCCGACTGCAGGATGACTTTTTTTTGATCATTTAAAATAAAATACTGCTAAGAACTACTACTATATTACTTTGTTTTTCATTGTTTTGCCAGGTACTGATGCATAGCAGAAAAAAATGGCATGAAGATATTTTTAGCTTATTGTGGAAACTTTTAAGTTCAAGTTGTGGGACATAATTAAGACACTTTACGGACAACGACACCTGGGAGGCCATTTGCATGTTTACACAGACTTTGTAACCAGTGAGTCCGGACAAACTTTACACATAGAGAAATGCTCTTTCTATCTACTGTAGGCAGATTTAGGAGCAGCATAAGCAAAAAGAGAAAAACACAGGATAGGACAGGTAAGAGTTCACACCAGTTATAGGGAATAGAATATAATAAAAAATATATATGATATGAGTAAAGATATGAATAAATATGTCTAGATGTGTAAGAATAACTGAGCTGTGTGTTTCCAGCTGTGTTCAGGATACTGGTGATGATGCTGCCGAGGGTCCAGAGGCTCACCCCCAGGCGGACCAGGTAGATGTTCTTGCTGTGGACGTGGGGCTGCATGTAGAACGAGAGCAGCGTCTGCACCAGGATGTAGAGAGCCCCCACCCCGAAGGTCAGCACCGCCCCCACCAGATGCATGGAGAACAGCGTGGTCTTCTGCTCACACACCGTTTGGGTTTTACAAGCAAGAAAGACAAAAAAACGAATGAATGAATTTGAAAAGATTTAATGATATGGTTTGTCCTGAAACTAATGAAAATGACTGACTGTAGGTCTGGAAATGACATTTGGAGATTTTAAGCTCAGATTCAACTCAGTCAAGGCAGCGATGTCCACAAAGTTTAAACCTGAGTTCCTGTCCATCTAAATGCTGTATGACATGCCTTAACCAAAGAAGGAACTGAGAAGTTTTCCAGTTTAGGAGAACGAGCCTTCACACACTTTACAGCAGGAACTGATCCCAGAGAAGCAGCACTCACCTGGAAGTTGGCGACCACGCACATCCCGAAGGAGCTGATGAGACCGAGCAGCAGCCCGAAGCGGTTCAGTCTGACCCGCTTCAGCTCCTCTTCACCCGTCAGAGCCTCCACCTGCTTGTAGCGCACGTACACCGTCGCCATTCCTAGACACATATAAAAACACACACACATTTCTATTTTTTATTATTGTTTTACGTAGACACAGTTTTGCTAAAATCTCTCAAATACAACAAATAAAGAATAAAAGAATGAAGAATATTTAACTCCTGTACAAGAGATTGATCATGAGTTTTCATTGATAATTATATGAACCTATTATAAAATTTTGATTGAGACACAATACGTTTAAAACTTATATTAAAAACATTTTAAAGTAAATAAAAATAATTTGACTGTCAATTAACCTCACGATTCACTTAAATACATAATTCCTTGTTCTGGTGATCAATAAAGTCTCTAAACATTTTAAGAAATGTCCCAACACTGTGTTGACATTGGGTTATGTGACGTTAGTGTGTGTGTGTGTGTGTGTGTGTGTGTGTGTGTGTGTGTGTGTGTGTGTGTGTGTGTGTGTGTGTGTGTGTGTGTGTGTGTGTTACCTAAAAAGGCTGACACATCCAGCATGATGCCAAACACACACCTCTCTGGTGCCATCGTTCCCGTGTCGCTGCAACAAACAATTTCATTCGATTTGGCAGTTTCTTTAAACAAAAAAAATAGGATAAAAGCTTTGTAAAATAATAATAACAATACCAGCTGACTATAATAATTGAAAATAAAACAAGTCGTCGATTAGTTGTGTCCAAAAGATAATGACTGACTGTAGCTCTGCAAAATACACGAGGAAATGATTAAGCGAGTTAAGGAGAATTATCCTGCATGCTAATGACCTCATAAAAGGTTGCACTCTTGTTATTAGCGTCTCTAAATCGAAAGAGGAGTGAGATATCTTGAGTATAGCGTATGTTTTTTTTATACTTTATGGTTTCTACAAAAACATATTTCGCTCAGATCGCTCTAAAAGTAGTTCCATGAGGCTGGAAGGTACACTGTATGAAGGTAGATATGGTGCAAAATGCGAGAGCGTGTAAAACCTGATGTGAGCACTTGCAGAAAAAAAATCTGAGCTTGTGTGCATACATTTACACTTGTATAAAATATCCACGTAACTGTGAACCAAATTGGAAGTCACAGAAGAAGAAAAAAAGTTTTGTAGCTTGTAGAAAAAAAATGAACTTATTGATGAAATGTTCACTTGCAGAAAAATACATATTTTGAAATATATTTTCCATTACAACTGCAACTTGGTTATTACAACCTCTCAAATCAGTCATTACAACTTGACGAATCTGCTCTGTGGCAGTATAAATCGACGAATCTGCGGTCTTGACTTTTGCTACACTTCTTGCGATAAATGTGTCGCAAAAGTAATTTTCACCTGTAGATCAGCTGTAGATGTGGGGGGAGGGAGGGGCTGATCTACAGGTGAAAATTACTTTTGCGACACATTTATCGCAAGAAGTGTAGCAAAAGTCAAGACCGCAGATTCGNTATAAACCGATGAGGTGAAATAGCCGTCCGTTTGTGTTCCATCTTCCATTTTAAATCATTTGTTTACCTCCCTCACTTCCGTTAACGCTTCTCATGCACTGATTCGCTAGCTGAACAGCCAATCAGTGTTATCCCTTTGTCCGACTTCCGGTGGTGTTCCCGACGATACAAACAAACGCATGCAAAAATGAAAATGGATGTATTCTGTGTGTTGATTTGACACAACAGAGGTGCAGATGTGTGTATCAGGATTACAGATGTTCACAGCAGCTGTGGGTCCCTCTCTGTGGAACACCACGGTAACCTCCCGCTGCTCACTGCGTATCCTTCACCAGCGACCTCTGACCTCCACTCACATGTCGGTTCTGCTTAAAGCTGCAGCCAGTAAAACATGGCTCAGCTGATCTCAAAAATCCTAATATGTTTGCTAATTCTCAATTTGCTAATTAGGAAATTAGATTTGACTTTGCATTACCAGGTTAGACAAATTTCCATGTGATTGAGTACAGACTGAAAGCAGCCTGTGGAGCACAACTGTGGAGTTCCAATATTTACATTTTCCTTCCTTTTATGAGAACAAATTCTGAATAATCTACATATTCCTAAACTTAATTTTCTAACCACTGGAAAAAATGATATAACTGCTCTGAAAAGTGAAATTAAATATTATATTTTACAGTGAGAGCAGAAGAGCTGCAGTATCGTCATCGTCTCGTCTTAGTCATGTAAAAAAAGGCGTTGACGAACATTTTTCGTCATAGTTTTTGTTAACGAAGTTAACACTGCCCCGCCCCCCCCTGAAAATAATGAGTGACAGGCTGATAGTAACCTGATAGAAACTTTATTATTCACTTAATGACTGATTGAGATATGATGAAGCTAACTTAATCTCCTAAAATCATGCGATTTATGTAACAGTAAGACAGAGAATAAGTGTGCACCCACATGCAGTATTTTTGTTTTTATATGCTGTTATAAATACTCCTGTTGTCTGCTGTGTTCAGACTAAAGTCCTGTTAGTGATGCCACATTCAGGACATTCAGTATCCTTTTTTTAACAGAAGACCGTTGCTAGAAGCTGCAGCTAGACTGCAGAAGTATTAGTTTTTAGTTGTTGAGGATGGAATACCTTCACACACAGATATAGGAAGGCTAGACCTATACAATTGGTTTACTTTGGTTTATAATTTAATGTCAAGACATTTATGTTATTTATTTCTGACTTACTTTCTAAATAATAAAAAGGGAGTTCATATTTATCTTACTGAATGTGTTCATTGATGAAAAAGAAGCCATGTGCAGTAATATAGAAAATTGAGGATGCAACGCATTGTTATGCATCGGGATATCGGATCGAAGACAGGATAATCCTAATCGAATCGAATAGTGAGACCAATGAAGATGCACAGCCCTATTAGCTTAGCATAAAGACTGGAAGTAGGTGGATTGCTGATTGCATTTTAATGAAGCTACTTTTCTGTTAAAAATCCTTCAAAATAACCGTGCTGTGCAGAAGAACCCCACAGCGCTCCCTCAGCTCCAGGTCCAGCAGCGTGTTGTGGGAGAGGCAGCAGGAGGGCTGCGTGCTGCTGCTGGCCCTCACTAATCCTCACTGTCCTCTCTGCTTCCTCCTCCCTCTCAGCATTGATGTGACTGAGGTGCAACTCTTCATAATAATCATGTATTTGCTGGCCGCCGTGGGAGGATCTGCTTTCTGGCAGTCACTGGTAATTTATGGGTTTTAATTCCTACAGATTGAGATGATGTTGTAATAATGTAAACATTTTCATTTCTTCTTGCTTTTACATTATTGTGTACTGTCATTTTTATCTGAAAATAATAACTAATTTACCATTCTCTAATAATACTCATGATGCTTTTATTGTGGATGCAAAGGTGTATTTACACACATTTACAAGCTACAGAAATATCTGGACGATTAAAGATCGATCAACACATTTTTGGACGTAAATGTCCAATATGTGTTATTATTACTTCCTTTTTGTGTTTTTGATTTCTAGATTCCGATCCTAAATATCCAGATGAAAATGGTTCCCGCCATCTGCACTTTTTTAGGAGCCATCTTCTCCTGCACCAATTACTTCCGAGTTATTTTTACAGGAGGTGTGGGCAAAAACGGATCCACGATAGCAGTAAGTCATTTTAGTTTTTATTATATTTATTTATTCTTTTAACATCCAAATAACAACAAATAAATGATATGCTCTGATAAAAAGAGAACAGACACTATCTGTGTGTGTCTGTCATAAGATTGTTAGATCTTCTCATCCGCATGATTACGAGAATTAACATTACATTTGTTGTGACCCAAACTCAAGTATTATTTAATACTATATCTGATAAGCTTTCTATGTGTGTCTGTATTCCCCACCATGCAGTATTGTTTTGATATTGAGAAATACTGTGTGCTTCTATGTTGCAGTCATTGCTACATAATGGCACAAATACCAGTAGTTCAAAGTTTCTGACTAGAATAGACATATTTTTATTGGCATCAGTTCAGGTTTCAGATCAGTTTATTATCTTATTAAAATGATCTTTGTTTTTGTGTGCCTGACCTCAGGGAACCAGCGTCCTCTCTCCAGTCTTACATATTGGTTCGGTTATTATTTTGGCGATGATGATATACAAGAAGTCTGCTGTCCAGCTCTTTGAGAAACACCCGTGTCTTTATATCCTGGCATTTGGCTGCGTCTCGGCCAAAATCACCAATAAATTAGTTGTAAGTCAACTCTACTTTTATTAGGATAAAGATTTGAATTTTTTTTGCAGAGATTTTAGTGCCAGAATGAATCTGTTGTGGTGTGATGCCGATTATTTTTATTTTTGTCTGCAGGTAGCACATATGACAAAAAGTGAGATGCATCTCCACGATTTAGCCTTCCTGGGACCAGGACTACTGTTTCTGGATCAATATTTCAATAGTTTTATCGACGAGTACCTGGTGCTGTGGATTGCATTGGTGAGTATTTGTTTAAATCTACTCAGCAGTAACATATGTGTATATGTAGTCAGGTTACGTCCTGATTAATCAGTAATGTAGAATACATGTCAGGAATAAGAGATGAAAACACTTATGTCAAAATTGTGAGATAGTAAGTTACAATTATTAAATTTGAACATGGTAAGTCACAATTATGAGATATATAGGGTCACTTAAAAGTATGATCGTATACATTAACAATGAGATATTATAAAACTGAAATGCAGTCCAAATTTCGACTTTAACAATGTTAAATATCATTTGACTTGAGATAAGTCAAACATTTTCAAATATAAATCAAAAAGTATGATTTTTATTTGACACATAAATATTTATAACAATCAAATGTTGAGATACTGAGTTAAAATAGAGAACAGTATGGTTTTATGAATTCAAACCATGGGATAGTAAGAGAAAATGATCAAATATGAAGTCAAAAGTATGGTTTTTATCATTTGAAACTGAGATATTTATGATAAAATCGAAATTAAGATACTTAGTAAAAATGTATACTGATATGCAAAGTCAAAATTGTGAAATATTAAGTTCAAATAATGATTTTAAGACTCGAAACCATGAGGTTTAAATGTACGTTTTTATAAATAAAACCACGAGATAAAAAAAATAATTATATAATAACTGAAATGTATGATTTAATTTATGATAAAGTCAAAAGTAAGATACTGAGTAAAGATGATGAGACTGAAGCAAAGTCAAAAGTCTGAAATTCTATATTGTGATTATAGTTAAAACTATGAGAAAGTAAGTCGAATAGAAGGATGTTGAACTTTTTAGGTAGCGATGCGGTAACTGAGACCCTCCTGTCAGATCAGTGATTCTGTTTCCCTCTCTCTGCAGATCATTTCCTTCTTTGACTTGGTGCGTTACTGTGTCAGTGTTTGCAACCAGATTGCCTGCCATCTTCACATTTTCGTTTTTAAAATCGCGCCTTGCTCAGTGCTCAGCTCCGCTCCTCACTGAGGACACGCCGCCATCACTGACTCTTCCTTCCCGTTAGTCGCGCTCTTCTTTTCTTCCTCTGTTTTCCACGTAGCGATGCAGGGGATGGCGTGGTGTAAAAGTATGTGCTTCTGCCAACTGAATGTGTGGACAAATAATATATATTAAGATACTGGAGTATTACTGTCTTTGTTTCATCTTCTGCCGCAGTAATAACAATTCTCCTTCTGACAAACTGGTGAGCAGATACTTCAGGAGA